GCCCTACGAAAAGTTAATAAGATTGTCAAATTATTACAAGATTTTTGAAAAGAATGCGTTGCTACATTTTTATAATTAATTTTTATAATGATTATTTGATACAATCAATTAATGATAAATAAAAATATACATTAGAATTGATATAAATTTAATATTAGTTTAAAAACATATAATAATAATGACTTCTCAAAACCAGGATTGTATAATTTTACATGCATAACACTGAACTTCTACAAAAAGAACAAAATTAGTAGATTGATTTTTGAAATAGATAGTAAAATGTTATGTGCATTTTTTTAATTTTGAAGACAAATTCTTAAATATATTTGAATGTAAGTGTCACAAATCGTATATTTTTAGTAATTTTATCACATTGGAAGCATAGAATTTAACTCTGGGGAATGCACAAATAAAAGTTGTATCAACATCCTGATGAACACTGAAAAGAACAATCTATAAACTTAAATTTCCTCACCAAATTCTATAATGAATTCTACCTGATCTCTATAATAAATTCCATAACTTGACAAATGACTGGAAAAACTAGAAAAATATCTGTGGCCAGCAAATAGAGAAAAATGTCTTTGAAAATTTACTGGATACCAATTAATTTGATAATTAATTTGATTGGCGCAACATCCTAGAGAAAATAGGAAATTTAGGACAGAACATTTAACTAACTTATTTTTCTACAGCAAATTGAATACTTGACGATAGTGGTGAGAAACTGATATTTTAGGGAAATGTCTAAAACCTTGGCAAGAACTCCTATCAACAAATACCAAGACAAAGAAAAATGCCCTTAGAAATTTGCTGGTATTAATTTATCTTTTTCCAAAAATTCATTTTGGGCATAATTAATCTCTAAAGAAAGATTGTAGCAAATCAAGCTATTTCTTTGACTATCTATTTTAGGAAACGTGTTGATAAAATTTATAATATACTTTTCAGTATGATCATGCAAAATTAGTTAACAATTTATTTTCGTCCTTCGTCAACTTTTCACTTAGTCCAAATTTCAACACTTTATTCGATTTCTCCAGCCTGTCAATAATACTTCAGATTATTATTGACAGACGGATTGACCAACTGACCATGTTGTACAACCAGAAATTTGAAGTCAATTTTAAATGTAGCATATAATTTCACGGACATTATTTTGTATATTCATTAAAATGTAAATGTGGGCCATGATCGCCAAAATTTATTCAGAATTTGAAGGCACCGAGCTTCCTTAATTATAAATGTTGGTAATAAAATCGATTAAAATATTTTGGATTATTCCAATTTGGATAGAATTAGAATTAATTAGTCGGAAGTTCAGTATTACATTGAAAATTTGAATAAAAATCACATTGGAAGTTCCAAAAATCGAATCAAAGTGCAAAATTTGTCTGATTAATTCAGACACTTGTGGTAAATAAAAATTACAGCATAATTTTGGAATTATGCTACTAGGAACCAATAGTATATAATATCATAAATCAATCAAATTAGAAATTCAATTGAATATGATACATAAATTTTAATAATTCGAAATATGAGTAAAATTTTTAATTTCCTTATATCCTATAGATATATATATATATAGATACATATATATATATATATATAAATTTTAATAAAAATTAAAATATTTTCAGCACATCTTTAAACAATTATATTCCGTATAATTTTTTAAAGAAAATTCTCAACTACAACTAAACTTGCTTATAAAATATAAGTGAAACTTTAGTGATTTTAGTGATAAAAAAATAAAATAATTTTGTGTTTGTATGTTTTAAATAGAAGTGAAAATTAAGCAAGAAATTGTGCAAAAGTGTCAACCACGGAAACGGAATCAAAAATGGAATCCGACCACAAGAATCATCCGAATCCGAGTGAAAGTTTCCATCTGAATCAATTCGATGGATCAATGGTCTATGTATGTTAATTTTATAAAATATAATTTATAAAAAAGTATAAATAGATTGCAAACACTTAATTGTTTCCGCACTCCATAGAGGCGCCACTAACTGTAGCACGTAAACTTACCTCTAGGTTTAATTCTAGATAAATATATAATATAGAAGAGATAAACCTGATTTATT